AAATTACAAAAATTATTATTTTAAAATGGATTTGACTTTATAGTTTACAGAGAGCCTCAAATTAATTGATCTGCAAGCGTTTTAGGTTAAAACAAGCATGATATTTTTTCATATCGCAATATCTCTCTCATTGTTTGCGTCAGGTAAGTAAACAATTGTTGGTTTTATTTAAAACAAGTTTAAATCTAAATATAAAAACAACTATAATATACATATATATACATACATGCAAGGTATTTTTTGAAATTTCCTTGATCTGTTGAATCTTAGCCATACTAATGGATGATACCAAATAATTAAAAAACACTTTTTAATGCAAGTCATTAAAGGGTTGATATAAGGACAAATGCATTCAGGACAACCCCACCAAAAAACTTTGTTACCGCAACAAAACGTGAGCTATACGGAAAAAGAACGTTATGAATCAGAAATTATTCTCTAATTGAGGAAAGCTACCAATGTTCTCATGATGTGATCTTAACGTTTTTGATGATCTTATGTTTCGATGTGTATTATTTCAAAGTGTGTACCCTAAAGACTGCTAATCCTTTTAAGAACTGTTAGATCTCTACCAATCAATATGAACTTGAAACTTTTATTTTTTGTTTTAATTTTAAATTTGTTTAAATATTATTTAAAAAATCGGGAATCTAAGTGAAGTTTGAAATTGCTGCAAAATGTTAATACTAAGTTTAAATTATATAGTTTTTGAATTATTTTAGTGTAAAATATTTCACATTATCAGTTAATTTAAAAAGAAAATTGTTTATACATAAAATACTCTAAGCATGGCGAATAGGTGATGATACGTGATGGTTTTACTAAAAAAAACCCCGCTCCCTCTCCCTCCGTTCCAGCTGGCGTTCCCTCTCCTGTTCCTGCTACCAATGGTAATAGTTAAAAGTGAGCATGTGACTTGAGTAACCAATGAGATGGTTAAAAAAATCTGATAGGTTATAACACGTGACGTTGAATTGACCAATGGGGATTGGGGATTGGTAATGGGACTCTACGTCATAGCAGGTGGTGCGCATGCGCAACCCTCAAGGGGGGTTGCGCGGCATGCGCCTTCAGGATTAGGTCTAGACTTTTTTTTAATCTGGTGAGCTCGTCATCAGATTAAAAAAAAGTGTACTGCGCATGCTTTGTGCGTCAAAGCTTCTAATTTTATCACCTTCAGGATTAGAATTAGACAGGTTAGTGCGTCAAAGCTTAGTTCTATAAAAAAAAAGAGTGTACTGCGCATGCTTTGCGCGTCAAAGCTTTTCTTTTATGGCGTCAGGGTTAGGGTTAAGCTAAGTCCTATATTTAAAAAAAAAAAATGTTTGTATCATATCAAAAAAAAAAATGAATACGAATGGTGACGGTGGTGAAATTATTACAGAAAAAATTATTACAGAAAAAAAAAATATTAAGCAAGAAAATGGTTATAAAATTAAAGTTTTAAATTATTTAAAAAAGAAATGGCGATTTTTAAAGTTATTATATAGAATAGTTTTATTTCCTTTTCAAATGATTGGTATGGGACTATATGTATTATTTACTATATTAGTACCAGAAGTTTTGAAAATTTCTTAATTTCATTATGCTTTTATCCGATAAATTACTTAAACTTTTGACTTTAAAACTACAAAGACGTATTATTCTCCAACCGCTATCGTTTTCCAAAATATTAAAAGCTGCTGACAAATTGTTATTTTTTAAATATTGTAAATGAACAGGTCCTTCCAACGGTTTGATAAAATAAACAGGTGATGTATAATATCTTTTTATCACTTTAACCATCCCTTCTTCTACAGATTTTCCACATAACATTGCAAAATTAAAACCTAACAAAAAGTTATTAAAAACATCATGAAAAGTCTTTGCATTTTTAAATTCTTTATTAAATTTTGTGTTGCCGTTGGCATTAGGATTAATGGGTTACAAACTAGTAAAAAAACTATTAAAAAAATGAAACACAAAAGAGCTAAAAAATATATTAGAAATAAAAGAAGAAAGAAAACATTAAATAAAAGAAAAAGATTTAGAGGAAAAGGTGATTTTGATTCTATTATAAACAATCTTAGTTTAGGTGAAAAACAAAAAATCAGAGAATATGTAAATCAAGATTCGTCAATAAAGAGTTATATAAATCTAAACAAATCACAATTTGATCCAAAATTAATTAAAATTATTGGAGTTTAAAAAAAAATCATGAAACGCAAAAGAGTTAAAAAATATCATCGAAAAAAAAGAAAAAGAGTTTACAAACGTATACGAGGTAAAGGAGAATTGATTGATATAATGGGAAAATTGTATAACGGTTATAACACGTATAAAAATATGGACGAAAATCAAAAAATTCAAGTAGATTCCACAGGAAAGTGTTGTAGGTGGTAAATAAATATCTTGCGGTACGTATAATTTTCCACTTTGAATTACGTTTTTATAAAAACGAGCGTTTTTTTCATCATAATGTAAGTTTTCATATTTTGCGTGTAAGTCATTTCTACCTATGAGCGGTAAACAATAGATAAAATAACGCAATTTACCTTCCATTGTATTATATTCATTTCCATCAATTTTAAGAGAATACATTCGAATATAATTTATTAAATCTAAGGCGGTTTCAATTTTTTCTGCACATCCATAAGGAATCCCCAAACAATATTTTAAAGCTTTAACGTTTGCAGATACTAATTCATTTGACAATGATATTAAGTCTTCCATTTTTTTTAATTATTTAAAAAAATAAATGTTTATAGCTAATATAACAAATTTTTATTAAAGTAAAAAAAAAAAAAAAAAAAAAATATTAAAAAAAAAAAACAACAATTAAAATTCAATTTTTTTTTTAATAATATAAAAAAAATACATCAAGTAAAATAAACTTGAATCCAAAGTTTGTCATTGATTATATAATTTTTGAGTTGATCGTGTTTAATAAAGTTATCATAACCGCACGTAATGTTTGCTTCATAAATGGGTCTGTCAAAACTTTCGATATGTCGTGATGTTGGAAAGCTTAGCATCATTTCATGATGATTATTTTTGATAAAAAAATAAACATGATTCTTCATCGGCCAGATTAACATGTGATCATGTTCAGATTTTAAAATCTGAACATAAATAGCTAAGGTTTCTGGTTTTTGATAACCAAATATTTTCACTCGAAAACAATAACCTTCTTCTGTAAAACAGGGTTTACTATAATACGGTTCATTCGATTGCAATCGTAGTGTCATATTATCTAAACAAATAAAAAGTTTCTTTCGTGTAGGTACATCATAAGGTTGTTCGCATAGAAATTCATTTTTCTTTTGTTCTAATTCGTGGTTAAACTGAGAAACAATGTCTCTCAGTTTATCTTTGTAGGTAGAAAAAAGCACATCAGGTTGTTTACATACGATTTGTAAAATAGCTAATTTTGTTTCCAAATTTTCAATTTTTTTATCCGTCTTTGATCCTTCCTTGATTGTTAAATTGAGTGCAGTGTTTACATAGTTCATACTTTCTTGAATCAATTGAAAATCTTTCATTTTTCTATCCACATGATTCTCTATTTTTTTTAAATCCTCTTTTAACTTTGACATCTTTTGAGTAGAACACGTTGCATAATGCTCATTAAAAAGAACCTTTGTACCAAAAGATCCATTGCACAAAGCACATTTTCGATGAGGATGCGGACCACCGCAATCACATTCAGAAAAGACTTCTTCCATTTCGTTATCATTAATCATAATAAAGTTTTTATTTTTTTTTCTTTCTTCTTCTTGAAAAAACACTGCACTGCAATGCACTTGATGCTTTAATAATCATTTATTGTGAAATCTTTATCACAAAAACAACAACTTTGTAAATTGTTTGCCTTTTTTTTTTAATTTTTAATCTAAAAAATATAAAAAAATATAATTAGATAATGAACATATTTTTTTTAAAAAAAAAAAAATTAATTAAAAAAATAAAATAAAAAAACACTGCATTTTATAATCTACTTTTTATTTTTATTTTTACACAGTTACAATAATAATTACAATTTCGTCTACATATTTGTATAATTTCAACTCTTTTTACTTTTTGTTTTTTAATACGTCTTGTTCTTTTTTTCTTTTTCACATTATATTCTGAATCTGATTCTGATTCGCTTCTATTCATAGTTATGTTTTCATCTTCTACTTGAAGTGGTGACATTTTTTTTTAAATTTTTATAAATTGGCTAGAAAGAAGTATTAAAGGTGGTAAAAACAAATTACTTTCAACAAATTCACATTGATCTATCATCCATTGTAAAAGATTAGAATAAATCAAAAAAAATGGTTTCAATTCTGTTAAGTGAATGTTAAGTGAATATACATAATCGACTAACACATCTAAAAGTACATTAAACGTGACTAATAAATCCTGTTGCATTTTAATATAATAAGTATTTTTATTTCGTATATATGTTTCAAAACAATTATTATAAAAATAATCAAAACGTCTAACAAAGTTTTCTTGTAAATATAAATTACTAAAAAATGGTGCAATATTTCGGATTGTTTCATTAGCCATATCCATTGTTATTGTAAATGCTAAACTTCTTTTTACTATTTCAAATAAAGTCGGTATTTTAATAAATAGTTTTTGATGAAGGTTGTATACTTTTTTTTGTTGTTTGAATAAATCTGTTACATCTGGATAGATTTTGCTAAATTCTTTATAAAATTCTGAATGTGGTTGTAAATACCATGTACATTCCATGTAACTATTCCTTTTTTTTATTAATAATCTAAAAAAAGTAAATAAAAAAAAGTTAAAAATTGTCAAATAGAATAATTATATAATCATTTTAATAAAAAAAAAAGACAAAGAAAATAAACAATTTTTTACTATAAAAACAATATATTTTAATTAAAAAAAAAAATCACAAAAAATTAAAATATTCTGTTAAAAATTTAGAAAAATGCTCAATGAGCAAATCAGCATCTTCTAAAACAATTTCTTTTTTTTCTAAACAAGTTACAAACCAAAAAATATCCATAAATATGTCTCTATTATTTTTTTCAAAATAAAGTTTTAAAGTCTTTAATGTTCTGGTTGCGTGAAAACAGTTTTCGCACACATTTAAAGTAGCACAGTTTCTTACTTTACTTGTTTCTTCTTCGGATAAATGTAACACCAT